GGATGAACCATCTGATCAATTTGAATCGAAGGTGATTAGATAGAGGCCTACTCTAGAGGAGGTAACAGTGGAGGAGTCGGGTACATATGCGATCAACTGCATCTTTCCACATCCAGTCTCAAGATGTACAAATAAGCTTGCTTGTCGAACAATCTAATACTATTACGCGTTTTCTTTGATCAATTGGTGTAGGGCGTTTGGGAACACAAGTGTCGGTGTGGTGGCCAAGATGATCTAAAGTCGAACGCAAAATTTTAGTCCAACTACATCAACGTTGACCCGTTCCAACAATTTGCCAATCGCCCAAACCAATCGGCCCTCTACTCTACCCATCGTAATGCTACGAGTAAGCTCCATTGCTACTTAGAAAACAGCATTATCGAAGCGACGAACAAACAGTCCATGAACATGTGTGGCAACACAGGCACCGTCTACAAGGTCCGATGCAAAGAACTACCGTATTCTCTAAAATGAGTAGAGTACCCAATCTATGTATTCCGTGGGTTATTATATGCTCGAATCTATCGCTGACATAGTGGCGCTTCGGATTTCTAGACGCGACAACGGGGGCCATCCTGCTGCCAAAGAAAATCTCGTTACTCCAAATATATGCATAGATCACTGTGAGCATGATTTGGGAGTAACCCCGAGTGTTAGGTCCGATTTGCGAGAAACGGTACCATTCCTGGAAAGCACGCAGCATTACATTCTGGCCATACCAACTTCCCTTTTCCTCCTAATCTGAACTTCATATCCTAGTGGCCAAACGAAGGGTATCAGAAGTTCTGGGGCTCGTCATGCGTAACCGAGGTCTGGTTCATTTCACTATTTTCTAATCCTATCCGATCAATCCCACAACTCAAGCTCACTCGATCCCTTATTGTTCATTCAGGCGCAACTATCTATCTGCGGTGGGTGTGATTCGATGACGACATTGCACTGGTTTACCCAATTCGATCACAATCGAATCATAGTCGCAGCTATCCACTGCATCTTTACGAATAGGGTGGGCCATTATATCTTATACCCATGCCCTTAACCTTCTTTACGAGATTATGATATAAAAGCCGTGCATTACACTAACCTAATGGCCAGGAATCAAGACGGTATACGTATGTAACTACATGAGCCCGATATTGATTAAGATAGCTAACAATGATGGTATTATTGGAAAAGAACGTTGGTTGTTTTATTATATGTCCTGTTCTCGATGGTCTGAGACTTGGGGTGTGGACTCATGCGGTTTAGCATAGTCATTGTCTGGGAACGGCTTATCTTTGTGCTTTGATGTCCAGTGTCGCTTCATGCCATCTCGTCGGAATGATATATTACTGTGAGTACAGGGCTATTTAGGGGAGGTTTCCTAAGAGAGTGCTGTACCCACCATTCTATACACGATACCCTTTGCTTCGCATGTTTGAGGTGATCATCTAGTAATGCCTTTGAAAAGAATCGAGAATGAGGACTAAAGAAGCTAATCGTCAACAAATATCATGGATGAACGGGATGACCTACCTCCATGGCTCTGGCCCACATCTCATGCAACCGACTTCGTATCCAGAGCAGCGAAAGGGGCGATGACCAAGATGAGATCTCACGCAACCAACCGCGCGTTCTTGAGTACTCTTGACTGA